TCCCCTCCCCTCCTCTCCCCTCCCCTCCCTTCCCCGTTACAGGTGCAACTCGCAGCTGCAGGTAGTTAGCTTCTCACTGGTATATAATCAGCCAACTGGCGAGGGAGTCAGAGCAGAATTTCCAGGGCGACCGACTGCTCTTCCCATACTGCCGGCAATAATGGATTAAACGCTCCTACATGATTCAACCCTGTCTCTGCTTAATTTGGCTCAAGTAGTGACAGGCGGCCTTGGACCTGCTGTGTCCAGTATCAGATACACGTTTATGAGGAGTTTTGGGGATCCTACAACAGGGTCTTGTAAAGGGAAGTCCAGGATCCCAGGGCAACAGTGAAGAATCTCTTGCCCCAAACACCCTGTCCTCTCGCAGATGCTTTAGTGCACCGGGTGGGTGTTGAACGAAATTGGACTTTTCCTGTGAGCTGACAAACTAATCAGAATATCACGAGGACCAAAAGGTCCTTTTGTTCAGCCCTGCAGAACCCAAGGCTCAGGAGACACTGGGTGATGGGCTGCAGTGTGGACCATCTCTCGTCTGCAGGGACCACCACCCACTCCTTGACCCACCAGGCCTGGAATAGCACCCATGGGCTCCTGTAAAAGTGGGTGGAGGCCCAGCAGCAGCTGAACCTCAGTAGAAGTGAAGGAGCGTGAAAGTGATGACCTGGTAGCTCTTTTAAACTTCTCAGCGTCACACTGGAAAATTCCTGGTAGGAACTTTAGGAGTGAAATGCCAGGGGAGCCATATATATGGGAAGGACCCCACACCCTGGACCCGGCACTGAGCTGATGGAAGAGGGGTCTGGGAGGGAGAAGCACTTGCCTCTCTGATCAGGTTCATGAATCTGGGTCCCAGGCGCCAGGGCTTGTGTCGGTGGCATTGCAGGGAGCTGACAGCCAGCTGGGCCGCCCGATGGGAGGCGATGGCCACCAGGTACACGGCGTCGTACATCAGGGCCGCTTCCGTCTGCGGGGAGACACACACCACGTTTTATTTTTCAGTTTTTCAATTTTTGTTAATCTCACCTGAGGATATTTTTTCCATTGATTTTTTAGAGAGAGTGGGAGAGAGAAACATCGATGGGAGAGACATCGATTAGTTGCTTCCCACACATGGGGCTGGGGATCGAACCCACAACCCAGGTATGTGCCCTGAATGAGAATTGAACCTGAGACCCTTCGGTCTGCAGGCCGATGGTCTGACCATTGAGCAGAACCAGCCAGGGCTGCTTGTTTATTTTTAGTAACTGCTGGGAGTAAATCTAACAGCTGGCTCCCAGGAAAGCATTCCTGTGTCCGTCACCTCCGTTTACCAGGGTCCAGAAGGTCGCAGTTACGGAATCAAATCCACCGGCGGCCTGGGGAGACCCTCTGGGAGCAGACGTGTGTGACTCGCTCAGGCTGTGCCTGCCCTTGTTGGAAGCTGCTTTCCTGGCAGAGACTGAAGGAGTCATTCCTTCTGGGCTTGGGCACCTCCTCCCTCCCTCGTGAAATTTCTCTCATTTGCAAAAATCCACATAAATACTTCCAGCATTTTCTACAACATCCTGCCCTGTGGTTTTCTTTAAGGCTAAGATCTTATAATACCTTCACATTTTAGTTGAGGGTTTTCATGGAAACTCCAAATATCTTAGCTGGTTTGAAATTCTCAAGAACCCAGCAAAATAATCAGGACAGAAAATCCTTCGTTCTGAAGGAACACCGACCTCCACGCAGGATATTGACTTGGAGAGGGTCAGACATAGAGCCAGTAATTAGTAGAGTTAAGCCAAGGATCCTGGTCACAGCATGAAGATCGCGTGATTTTCTGCAGTCGGCTGACTTGTTCACTTTCACTGTGGGTTTACCGAGCGTGTCTTGGTGGAGATGGGGAGCGATGGGGTGACCACACCGTGCGCGCTATTGGCCTCTGAGTCCAGAGGGAACCTCTATTTGCCTCCTCCTGTCCTGGGCAATCGCCATCATTGCCTATTTCATATCTGTTCACAGCCACTTCTTTTTACACCTGTCTCATGGTAAGAAGGTAGATTTCTTGGTAGAAATTCTCGAGTTCATTGTTTAGTGGCTAACACAGTTCCTGGCACATAAAATGTTTTGATAAGTTTTTGCTGCAAGAATTAATGCTATTTTATGCCTTAAAACGCACTTTTGTGCGTCAGGATCCTAGGAGGTGCTCCCGTGTCTGGATGCACCTGAAGAGCTGGGAAGGCAGGGGTCAGGCTGAGGTTGTGGTGTGCCCATGGCCCCTGCGCAGCATCGAGTCTCACAGGACTTCCATTCCCAACGAGAGGAAAACCCACCTGAGAGGGGCCCCTCCTTCACCTGTCCATCCAAGGCCAATAGACTGAATCAGTCCAAGTGCTGAGAAAAACGTAAATGTAGTGGAGAGGAAAGAAGTGGGTTTTATACAATCACTCCAAAGGTCTACTGAATTAACTAACACTTTGGTTTTCTAATCTCAAGATGTTTTGAAATAACTCATTTTGCTATTTTTGAACTTTATTGGCTCAGTAACAATTTTCTTAACTCAATTTTAACCCTATTTTTAAAGTTAATATTTATTTAGTTAAGTCTACAGGTCTTAAGAAAGGAGTAAAAAATTAATAAAAATATCTTTATTGATTTCAGAGAGAAGAAGGGAGAGGAAAGGAGAGATAGAAACATCAATGATGAGAGTCATTGATCAGCTGCCTCCTGCATGCCCTCGACTGGGGATCGAGCCCACAACTCGGGCCTGTGCCCTGACCAGGAATCAAACCTCGATCTTCTGGATCCTAGGTTGATGCTTAACCCCTGAGCCACGCTAGATGGACTGGAGTCAAAATTTTTGAGGTTGGACATGACTTTCTGTTTTCAGATTTGAATGTTATGACACATATAACAATATTCTTTGCAGATATTTTTAGTACATGAAGTTTTGATAAATGCTGCATAGCTAAAAATACTACAGTGGAAAATAGATAAGTAGGTGGGAAGTACAGATGCATGGGTTTTCAGTTTTTAAAAATCTTATATATTCATACAGGTATCTGTATATGTATGTGGCATACACAGAAATGACTAGGAAGGGCTCCGGGGAAATTCACCTTAGAGAATATAATTTTGGAGAATGCAATTCTATTACAGTGATGACGTTCCTTACATATTAATCGTGATTCATTTATGGAAAATTTTTGAAATAACATTAGAATAATCTCTGTCTTCACTGATCATGCCTATTTCTTATTTATAAGGACTCTCTTTAAACTTTTATGGAACTATTTCAGGACTACATGAATATTTTTCATTGAACATCTTGAGTCTTTAGCAGAAGCTCACTTTGCATTTACTTAGTGGAGTGATTCCTTTACTAAACATATTTATTGAGGGTCTGCGCCGTGCCAGGGCTCGTCAGCCTGGGGGTGGAGCAGAGCTCAGAAAGACCACGTCTCGATCCTCATGGAGTTTATATTCGTGCAGGGAAGGCACTGAGCAAACATCAAATTATAACGTATTTGTTCATAAGGCTGCGAGGAAAGCCAAGCAGGCTCGGGGAGAGAACAGGGCTGTGTAGTGTGCATATAACCCTGCATAGGTTCATAGAGGGCCTGTCCTGTGAAGGGTCTGGGCAGAGACGAAGGATGAATGAAATGCAGTGCCTGGGAGGTAGAGACCCAGTGGAATAGAAACTGCAGCGACTTTTGCCTTGAAGGTTGAGAAGAAAGAGCTTGAGTGCAGAGAACTTGAGAACAAAGGTTAGTTAGCACCGGGCCCAGGTGTGGGACATGGGGCGAGGTGGGCCCTCTTTGGTGGGGGGAGGGATTAACTTTTGTTTTTCACCTGCATGATTTATTAGTTGTCATAGGTTTATAACTTTTTAAAAGTTTTAATAGCAAGCATGTAACACAGATTTATAAAAAGTATAAATAAATATGTAAAATAATGTTGATGTCAACAGGTGTACATGGGTCCAGAGGGATTTTGGTTCCCCATGAACTATTTTTTTAAAAAATTTATAGTTGACATATAATATTACATTAGTTTCAGATGTAAAGCATATTGACGCAACATCTACACACCTTACGGAGCGGCCACAGTAAGCCTCGTAGCCTCCTGTCGCCGTACATAGTTTCACGATATTGTGAGGTGAGGTGTGAGGTGCTATCCCCTGTGGTTCTGATTAGAATTTCCCTGAGGACGAGTGACGCTGAGCATTTTTCATATGTCTTGGCCATCTGCGTGTCTTCTTTGGCCATCTGTCTGTCCAGGTGTCTGACTTTTTAATCGGGTTGTTTGGATTTTTACTGTTGAGCTGTATGAGTTCTTTACGTATTTTGGATATTAACCCCTTATTAGGTACATCGTGGGCACGTATCTTCTTCCATTCCGCAGGTTGCCTTATGTTTTGTTGAGATTCCTTTGCTGTGCAAAATATTTGTAGTTTGATAAAATCCCATCTATTGACTGATGGATTGATTTGCTTTTGTGGCTGTCACCCTTGGAGACAAATGCAAAAAAAAAAAAAAAATTGCTAATAGTGACGTCAAATTGTTTATTGGTTATGTTTTCGTCTAGAAGTTTTGTGGTTTTAGGGTTTACATGTAAGTTTAAGTCTTTTAGAGTTTCTTTTTGTATATGATTTTTAAATTTCATTTTTTGCATTTGTCCAGCTTTCCCAGTACCACTTATTGAAGAGACTGTCTTCTCCCCGCTGTATGTTCTTGCCTCCTTGTCAGAGAGTAATTGTCCATGTAAGTGAGGGTTTATTTCTGGGCTCTCTGTTCTATTCCATTGATCTATGTGTCTATTTTTATGTCAGTACCATGCTGTTTTGATTATAGTATATTTATACTATAGTTTGAAATCAGGGAGCATGATACCTCCAAATATTGGTCTTTCTCAAGATTGCTTTTTCTGTCCAGGGTCTTTTTTGTTCTATATAAAATTTGTAATTATTTTTTTCTGGTTCTGTGAAAAACATGCCATTGGTATTTTAGTAAGGATTGCATTGAGTCTATAGATTGCTTTGGGTGGTATGAACATTTTAATGATATGAATTCTTTCAGTCCATGGCCATGGTATATCCTTCCACTATTTATGTCTTCTTCAACTTCTTTCATTAATGTCATACAGTTTTCAGAGTACAGGTTTTTCACCTCCTTGGTTAAATTTATTTCTAGATATTTTATTCTCTCTGATGCAATTGTACATGGAATTGTTTTATTCATTTGTCTTTCTGAGATTTTGTTATTAGTGTATAAAAATGCAACATATTTCTGAATATTTTGTATCCTGCAACTTTACTGAATTTATTAGTTCTAGTAGTTTTTTGTGGAATATTTGGGGTTTAATAAGTATAGTATCATGTTACCTGCAAATAATGACAGTTTTACTTCCTCCTTTCCAATTTGGATGACTTGCATTTATTTTTCTTGTCTGATTGCTGTGGCCAGGACTTCTAGTACTATGTTGAATAAGGGTGGCAACAGTGGGCATCCTTGTCTTGTCCCTGATCTTAGAAATATTTCAGCTTTTCACCATTGAGTATGACATTAGCTGTGGGTTTGTCCTATACAGTCTTTATTATGTTTAGGTGTGTTCCCTTTATACTCACTTTGTTGAGAGTTTTTATCATAAAAAAGATGTTGAATTTTGTCAAATGCCTTTTTTTCTGCATCTATTGAGATGATCATATAATTTTTATTCTTCCTGTGGTCTGTCATGTTGATGAATTTACAGACACTAAATTGTTCTTGCGTCCCCGGAGTAAATCCTACTTGATCATGGTGTTTGATCTATGCAGTGTATTGCTGAATTCAGTTTGGTAATATTTTATTGAGGATTTTTACATCTATGTTTATCAGAAATTGGCCTATAGTTTTCTTTGTAGTGTTTTTTTCGTGTCTGGTTTTTTGCGTCTGGCTAATGCTGGCTTCATAGAATGAGCATGAATACTTTCCTCCTCATATTTTTGAATATTTGATAGCATTAACCTGTGAAGCCTTCTGGTCCTGGACTTTTGTTTCTTGGGCGCTTTTTTGATTACAGATTCAATTTTATTAGTAGTAATCGGTCTTCTGTAGAGATTTGCCATTTCTTTCTGATAGGGTCCTGGAAGACTCCATGTTTCTAGGAATTTAACCATTTCTTCTAGGTTGTCCAGTCTGTGGGAGTATAATTGTTTGTAGTATTTTTTTCTTACAACCCTGTGGTGCTGGCTGTCACCTCTCCGCTTTCATTTCAGATTTTATTTATTTCGAGGCTTCTCTCTCCTTCTTGTTGAGTCTGGCTAAAGCTTTATCAATTTTGCTTATCTTTTCAAAGAAATAGCTTTTAGTTTCATTTACCTTTTTTTGTTTATCTATTTCTGCTCTGATTTATATTCTTTCTTCAACTCACTTTGGGTTTTGTTTGTTTTCCACTTTTTAGTCACTTTAGGTGTAAGGCTGGACTGTTTATTTTACATTTTTCTTGTTTCTTGAGCAGGCCTGTATCCCTGACGTTTCCCCTTAGAACTGTTTTTCTTTGTCCAATAGATTCGGGATCATTGGTTTTCATTTTAATCAGTCTCAAAATTTTTTCCCCCTTGATCTCTTTATTAAGCCGTTGATCATTTGGTAGCATGTTGTTTAGTCTCCATGTGTTTGTGTTTTTTTCCAGTTTCCTTCTTGGTTTTGATTTCCAGTTTCAGAGTGATGTGATCCGAGAAGATGCTTGACACTATTTCAGTCTTCCTAAATCTACTGAGACGTGTTTTGTGGTCTGACATCCATAATGTATCCTGGAAAAGTTCTCTGTGCACTTGAAAAGAATGTGTATTCTGCTATTTTGGGGTGGAGTGTTGGGGTGCTTTCTGGACTCAGCAATCAGTGCTTGGACGCCCTTGTCTTGCCCTTTGACTTTTCTGTGGATCTGTTCCCACCCCCCCCAAAATCAGCCACCTGGGCTGGGAGCGGAGAGAAAACACAACTGCAAAATGGCCTCTTCGGATAAATAAAGGTCCATATTACGCTTTGCAGGATCCATTTCTAAACTGTATCTGAAGGACTGTGGGGTCCCACTTGTAGTGGGCACTGCGTTCTACCATTTTTTGGAAATTGTATTGACATGAGCTGACATGGCTGCTGTCCCCACTTTCGTAGACCCCGGTGAGCCAGCCTCTTCTGATCTGATAGATCCCACCTCCCGTTTTGTGGTTTATAATAACAACAAGAAGAACATCAACAGCCCAAAGACGCCTCCCTTAGGTGAGATGACAGTTACAAACTCTGGGCAGAATGGGACCTTGTCCACCCACTGGGTCTAGGGACTGGCTCTGCCGTCCCCCCCGTCCCCAGGATAGCCATCTGCCCGGGTCACTGCCCAGTCCCGGGAGCACCTCACACCCAACCTGCCTCCAGTGTGAATCCCATGGCTCCGTCTCTCTCGCCCACTGGCCTTCCTCATACCAGTCGGTGCAGACAGGCCGTCTGCCAGCTCAGGCAACCGAGCAGGACACATGCTTTGCTGAACGTTACATGTACTATCACCGGCCTCTACATAACTAAACAAACTCTTAGTGGTGCCTATCAGATGCAGGTGATGAATATTTGAGATTAATCCTGGATAGAAACCTTGCAGGGAGGTGGGGGCTGGTCAGAGGATTTTGAAACACATTTGAACTCCCTGAAATTACAAATCCCAGGGAAGAGAAAACTGACCCCTCACTCTCTCGCCCACCCTCTCCCACCCCTTTCAGAGCCCAGCATTCCGGGGACACCCTCTGTGTGCTCATTCGCAGCCATGTTTCAGGTCACCGACGGCCCCTTGGCAGCAAGATGCGCCCCCTGACTCTCTCTCACATCATTTGTACGTGTGAAGGGTTATTTCTGGCTTGAGAAACAAGTAGGGACCTTGAACTTGAAATCATCCAGAGCCACTTCATTCATTCATTTATTTCTCCTTTTAAATTGTTCCTCATTAAAAAAAGCAGGAAAGAAAAAAAAAATCCCAAGTTCATTTCTCTGTGAGATGATGTCTTTCAGTTATCAGTAAATTGCGTCTTAAAAGCCAGAGTGTTTCTTCCGATGATGGGGACAGAGAATGTGTTGCCAATTTAAGATGCTATTACCTGGCTGCCTTCCCCCCTTTCTTCTCCCTCGGATGACACTGTTCCTACACAAAAAGCTTTTTAAAAAAATGCCCTGCTATTTCCCTCATCTCACAGGGAGTTTCATTAGAGACCTCGCCGAGGGTGGGTGACAACGAAAGACAAATGATGTCAGGAGGAGCCCTGGAAGAGCCGGTCGCAATTTATCTGTTCAGCGGAGCAGCTCTCTCCCTCTCTCCCGTCGGGGGCGGGTTGGCACCTGCTCCAAGAGCGACACACAGCAGGCGTGGGGCACCGTCAGTGTGTGCGAAGGTGTGGCCCAGGGGCCCGGGTCGGGGAGCGTGTGGATGCAGCCGCTGTGTTCGAATCCAGTACTTTCCACTGAGCTGCTTCTCGCTGAGATGGGGCAGAGACCAGGAGGGCAACTGGTCCTGCTCAACATTTGTTTTAAATATGTATTTTTAAAATTGATTTTAGAGAGAGAGGGAGAGGGAAACATCAATGGGAGAGACTCAACATTGATCGTCCGCCTTCTGCAAGCCCCCTGCTGGGGTTCGAGCCCACAACCCGGGCATGTGCGCTGACCTGGAATCTAATCGTGACCTCCAGGTTCATGGGTTGACGCTCAACCGCTGAGCAGCACTGGCCGGGTGAGCACAGCTTTTATAGGCGGCTTCCTCCCCCCTTCTCAAGGCCACATTCCAGCGGCAAACTCTGGCTGTGTTGTTGCTTTGTCTCCATTTGGCCGACAGTGGACCGGGGTGGCTACCCTTTAACTATTTTTATCTGAGACCAGTACAGTCAGAAAGCCAAAAATAGCCGTTTTTGATATAACCTTGCACAGCAATCCAAAAACATAAAAAGCTCCTCCGCCCTCCCACCAGTCAAGGCTCAGGTCATGACACTTCTCACTCTACAGAGGCATGTGGGGTCCTTAACCGGCCCCCTGAGGAGTTCGACACTCTCTGGGATGTTGCTCTGCGCCTCACCGTCATCACGCCGTCCAGGAGCCCGGTCTCGGGCCGCGGCGGGGCCTGCAGCCTCTCCATGGACCACCTCTCCACCACGGACGACACCTGAGGGCTGTCCACGTGGAGCAGCCGGAACCCGGTCACGTTCACGCCGCTGTACCGGTAGAGCTCCAGGTCCAGAGCAAATAAGTCCTGTGCGGCGGGGAAATGACAAGGCGGGGGGTTAACGTTTCAGCGACCGCAGAGGCAACCCACAGCTTACGGCGAAGACGCCCCACTTCCCCACTGTCCTTATGAAAGCGCATCTCCCTTGCTCTGCTTGCAGGGCCCCTGGGAAACCCCAAGGCCGAGGCAGCTTTTGTCTTCGCCCGTTTTCGGCAGCACGTGGGAGGCTGGGTAAACCCCGAAGCGGAGCTTGGCTAATGGTACTGAGCGTGCCCTCGGGCAGCCTGCACACCGAGGAGCTGGGGGCTCTGCTTACAGGACAGAGTCACTGGGGCATCGGCAGGGCCTCTGCGCCCATTGGGTTCAATGCCTGTACTTTATACATAAGGAAACTGAGCCCGCGGGTGACGTGGTTGCCCGGGAGAGGCCCGCTGGTCAGTGGCAGCGCCCTCCCTCGTCATCGAGGCTTCCGGCCCCGCATCTTGCAAAGGAGGCCAGCTCTGGAAACTGCATGTCAGTTGACAGGAAGCTCCCTTCAGCAGGAAGTGGCGCCGCCCCCAGCACGGGGACCCCCGTACCCCACACAGCCAGGGCACGGAGAGTGCTTGCTGGGCACAGGCTCGGGGGAGGACCTTCAGGGGACGAGCCGGGGCATCTGAGCGTGTGGGTGCGGGTGTCCTCTCAGGAGCCCGCTCCCTGCCCCCCAGCGGCGTCTCAGGAGGAGAGCTCGCCCCCCCCCGGGTTTTCCATCACGGATGAGGCCCAGCGTAAACCAGGAGCGTGGGACTCGCTTCACATTTAAAATAGACACGGGTCCTAACTTCATCTTTCCTCTTCTATAAAAAGGCTGGACTGTAAACTATAGGATTAAAATATACAAATTAAATCTGAACCAAACTTTCAAAATATAATTTAACAGCAAAAAAATCCGTTCATAACCATTTCCCAACAATGAGGTCGCTGGATTAGGCAAGTGCCGCACAAGACAGCCCGTCATCTGTGACGAAGGTGTCACGAGGCAGGAGCCCCGTCGGGAGCCCCCAGGACGTGTCTGCAGGAGACGCTCAGGGGCCGGTTCCTCCGACCTCCCGGCTGGGTGCCCTTTCCCCAGACAGCTGGGTCGGGGGGCACAACCCTGGGCGCTCAGAGCTGAGCTCCCCACTCGGCCCCAGGACGTGTGAACTGCCTTCCGAAATGTCGCACTTCCTTCGCTTGCACTAGGTCACTTTGTTTTTTCTTTAAGTTTTGCTAATACTCGTGGGGAAGGGCAGCAAGGATGAGAGGGCAAAGCCGGGCAGGATTCAGGTAAAACCAAAGGAAGGAGCCCAACGACGAATTTAAAGGATAAATCCCAAGAACGGGCGATTCCTTTATCACAATGAACACAAGGAGCTACTCGGCCGCAGGAGGTCGGATGGACGGACGGACATGCGCAGAGTCCCTCATGGATTCAACAGCGCGATGTGCTGACCCAGGTTCCACCCACGGAGAGTGGACAGTCGGAGTCCGATTTCCACGCCCCCGTGAGGGAGGGACCGGGAACCCAGGGGGTGAGACAGCCAGCCTGCCCTTCCTCAAGGGTCTCCCTGGGGACCAGCCGCTCCGTCCCACGGTTCAGGTTCTTTCTCAAATTTCAACAGAACCCATCTCGGGCGTGTCCCGTGGGGTTGGCAGAACACCCGAGGAGGTCAGGTCACCGTGAGTAAAACCCGGGTGTTCATGGTGCTGGGCAGGGGCTGTGCTTGTGAAGAGGGTCAGATGGTTCCCAAGGTTCCCCGACTCTCCTGACAGAGTGATCAGGTGTCCCCGGGGGGGGGGCGACCACGGAAACGCCACGAGACAGAAGCGTGGTTTCAGGACTCCTGCCCTGCACCCGCTCCCTTGCCCAGGCTCAGAGCCGGCATGATTTTGACAACTGCCCCGAAGCCTTTGTCTCGGGATGTCCTCTGCATCCCTCGGGCCTCAGGCACCCCGAGTGAGGAGCGAGTGTGGCAGCTTCCGGTCCTTGCTCCAGATTCCTCGATCTCCCTCGCGCCAGCCTGCCTGCCTGCCTGCCTGCCTGCCTGCCTGCCTGCCAGCTCTATCGGGCAGATGGAATTCGTGCCGACTCTCCCAGCATCTGAGTGGACTGTAGGCAGCACAGCCTCACGGGGGAAAGGGAGGTTGGTTCTGTTTCCCTCTCATGTCAGAAAGTGGGGGTGTGGGGGGTGTGGGTGGGGGTGTGTGGCTGACTTTTGAAATTGAGCGAGAGCCATCACATCACTCTCATGTGCTAAATGCCCTAAATCATTCTTCCTCGATCTGATAATTTCTCAAAATTTAAGGTGTATAGTTTTTTTTAACATTTCTTAGTCTTAAGAGTCATGATTTTTCTTGGGTGCAAAGCGTTCAAGGTGCAAAGCACCCCCCAAGCTGCTCTTCCTGACAGTCTTCACGACACCCGGCAGGCGACCCCGCCTAACCCAGCCCCCGCTGGACACGGGCGGCTGAGCCAGGTCACTCCCAGCAGCAGGACGCTCGTCACTGTGCCTTCAGGGTACACGGAGATGCCAGGGAGGCTTCTTTATGAACAGTTCGCACTTCGACAGTTTCTACTTAATGGAAGTTTCATTTTAATCCCTTTCTGGATGCACATTTTTCGATGTTAAAAAAAAAAAAGAAAGAAAGAAAGAAACCTGCTTCTCAGCATTTCTGGTCAGAGGATTCTTAGAAAAGAAGCCAAGTCCCCGTGACAGTGCCCCCCCGGGACGCCGTGGGGCTGACGCTGTGTCTGCCACGCTTACCAGGGTCGTGAAGAAGTAGTGATAGTACTCGGTCATCATGCCCATGAACAGGATCTGCAAGAGAGACACGGAGGAATCAGAAGCGGTGTGATCGTAAGAGACCAATAATTAGCGGGCGGCTGCAGCCGATTGGAAACAAAACAGGAAGGAGCCTCGGAAATCCAGACGCAGGAGAGGAAGTGGACCCACGGCCGACGGGAGCTGAGACCCGAGCCGTGACCGGCACCCGATGCCTCCTCAGGATGCTGTGTCTGACTCAGAGCAAAGCAATTGGACAGATGATCAGATTTAAAAATAGTTTGTGCTGCCAGCTGGTGTGGCTCAGCGGTTGAGCATCAAGCCATGAACCGTGAATCGAGTCGCCGGTTCGATTCCCAGTCGGGGCCCAGGCCCGGGCTGCAGGCTCGATCCCCAGTGGGGGGCGTGCAGGAGGCAGGTCAATGGCTCTCATCACTGCTGTTTCTCTCCCTCCCTCTCCCTTCCTCTCTCTCAAATCAATAAAAACATATTTAAAAATAGTCTGTGCTGAACCAGTTTTACACTTGGAGTTGCCCATAACGGCGCAGCAGGGCCTTCCCCACCCAGGTTCCGGGGTGATCCCGGGGCAGGAGGCCCTGGTCGGTCCTCTTAGCTTGAGTCTCGTCACGACGCCGCGGAGGAGAGCTCGCTGCGCCCCGGGTTAGCCGCGCCCGGGCGCAGACGCCCGTAAGTGAGGATCTGCAAACGGGTTTCCCTGAAGCCTCCCCTGTCCTCGCTGATCCTTCAGGAGGAGAGGATTTGTCACAGACGGGAGGCGGGATGTTCTCGCGCTCGGTGACCTACCTGGCATCTCGCTGGCTTCAGACATTCTGTGTGTCGTCTTGCATTTGGCCAGAGGGAAGGAGGCGGCGGGGAGGACACGGTTCCAGTGGAGGTGGCTTATTAACTGTGATCTTACTCTGGGATTCCTGGAAACGTGTCCACTGAGAAGCAAAAGTGCCAAATGCTCTGGAGATAGACTATTGCTTCTAAATCTCCTAACTCAAGGCTATCACCTTCCTCGGGGCAGGTGCCAGAAGGGCTATTTGAGGCTGTTTTGGTCGTAGTAGAGAAGCGAATGGAGAAGACTCAGAAATCGGACTCCACGACGCAGATGCAATCTGGGTGCCGACGGGAGTCGGCTCTGGAAGCTCGGCACTCGGATAGTCACGGGGACGCCCTGAATCAGACCTTCTGAGGACGGAGCCTGGGCTCTTGTATTTCAAAGCAATCGCTGAGAATCGCTGCTCTATGGAAACATTAAAGAGCAGGGACTTTCATTATTTCAAGTGGAAGATGGGTTGGGAAGGTCTGGGCTGAGGCAACCTAGTCACAGGAGGTCCTGGAAGGTGCCTAAGATGTGACCAAAGTGATTTTGCAGGAGAGGGGATGAGGGATGAAGAGGGTGCTTGGTGACAGCACAGGACAGGCCACCCGGAGGCCCTCCGCCCTCTGCTAACCTAGAAACCAGAGGAACAGTTGCTGAAACTGTAACGTCATGGAGATGACAAACTGCCGGAAACTCTCCCCATGAATCACGCGCCCAGCGTGGAGCTCGCTCCTGCCGCGATAACAAGACGGGGCTCACAGAGGGCTTTTCAAAGGGTAGCACTGCTTTGGGGCATCAATAACACTCGAAGCCCTGCCTGGCGAGGTCTTGTTAGCAGGTCTCTGATGTCACCGGAGCGTAAAGAGCTAACCTGCCGGGTCGGTCAGGAATCCAATTTTTCACTTCAGTCATTAGACGGTGTAATTGCAGCCAAGACTGGCTCTGGAGAGGGAGCCGGGCAGGTTTTACATCAAGACATAGAGCTGAACACTGAGGCTTAAAATATTGTTTCTGGAACTGAAAACAAAACACAAAGGCACCTGAGTTTTCAGCTTTCCACCTGGGCTGATGTTTCTTTTTAAATTTTCTTTTAGAGGGTTTTTTTTGGTTAATCCTACCTGAGGATATTTTTCCATTGATTTTTAGAGAGTGTGGAAGGGAGTGAGGGAGGGAGGGAAAGAGAAATGGATTGGTTGCCCCACACGTGCCCTGCCCGGGCTGGGAAATGAGCCCTGGACCCTTCAGTGTGGGGGTGATGCTCTAACCACTGGGCACACCGGCCAGGGCCACTATAGAGGTTTTTGATCACCAATTGAGGGCATAGGCTTTAAAAATAAATGATATTGTTGTGGTGATGCACAAAACAAAAATCTAAAATATGACATCAAAGTCATAGAGAAGGGGGAGTAAAAATTCAGTCCTTGTAGAATATATTTGAACCTCAGTGCCTATGGACTTAAACTGTACTGCTACAGATCAGGACGATATACATGAACCTCCAGTAGCCACAAACCAGAAGCCTACAGACACACAGCAGTAAGGAAAGGAGCCCAAACACTGAGGAAAACCAGCAAACCCCAAAGGAGCTCAGCAGAGAAAGGAACTGAGCAGAGCTGGAAAAACAACCAACAATGCAGCGAGCACACAGGTGTCAATAATCACTTTAAACGAAAATGAATCACACGCTCCGGTAAAAAGACATGAGGCGGCCGAATGGCTTCAGGAACACGACCCGTCTGCTGGTAGGAGACTCACTGCAAGTCTGAAGACACAGACTGAAGGTGAAGGGATGGAAGAGCAGATAGAAATGAAAAGAAAGCCAGGGTAACAAACTCATATCAGACGAAATAGACTTAAAACAAAGAATGTAAAAAAAAGACATCACATGATGATGAAGGAGTCAGCCCACAAAAAGGCTATAACATCGTAAATATCTATGCACCTGATACACAAAATAATTATTAATAGACATAAAGACAGAAATTGATGGTCATACAATAATAGGGGATGTTATATCCCGTCACATCAATGGATAAATCATCCAGACAGAGAATTAATAATAAAATAATGGCCTTAAATGTCACATTAGACATTTATAGAAAATTTCATTCAAGAATTGGACAAAACTTTATTTCAAGTGCATGTGGAAGATTCTCTAAGATGGACCACTTCTTACGCCACAAACAAGCCTCCATACATTCAAGAAGATTGAATTCCTATCGAGCGTCCCTTCTGACCACAGTGGCACGAAACTAGAAATCAGCTGCAGGAAGAAAACTGGAAAAAGCACAAGTACCAAGTACACGGAGACTGAACAGCTGGTGAGGAAACAACCAGAGGTACAAGGAGGAAATCGGCCGGCGATCACCAACTACCTTCAGACTAATGAAAACGAAGACACGGCCTTCCAGGATTCATGGGACACAACAGAACCGGTTCTAAGAGGAAGTTCATAGCTACACAGGCTCACGAAGCAAGAAAAATCTCGAACAACCCAACCTCCCACCGAAAGGAACTAGAGAAAGAAGCGCAGACGGGACCCAAAGCAGACAGAAGGAGGGAACTACTCACGATCAGCGTGGATACAAATGCAATAGAGATTTATGAACACAGCAGAGAGGTCCGTGGAACCAGGAGCTCGTTCCTGGGAAAGATGGATGTACCTTCTGCCAAACTCATCAAGAAAGAAAGAGCTGAAATAAATAGAATCCTGAGGGAAGGAAGAGTTGTACCGGACACCACAGAAATGCAGAGGATCACTGACGGTGACCGTAAACAATTACACGCCAACAAACCGGACCCCGGGAAGACACGGACGCATTTCCAGAAGCATCCGACCTCCCACAGCTGCGCGAGGAAGAAACAGAAAATCCAAACAGGCCAACTACTCGCAACGGAGTTGAAGCCGGAATGAAAAAGCTCCCAGGGCACAGAAGCCCGGGACGAGATGGCTTCGCAGGAGGGTAAAGGGTGCAGTGCTTTTATTAGAAGCAACCATTCAACAAATTATTTTTATTAGTATTTTGCTGTAGCACCTGGAGGCAGAGATTCATTTGCTACGCCCCTTATCTCATGCTAGAAACGAGTTACGAAGATGCAGTGAGTAAACAGCTAACAGGGCCACCACGTTAGAAACAATCCTCACCTCGGGAGTGAGGATATTTTTTTCACTGATTTTTAGAGAGAGTGGAGGTGGGGCAACATCACATGAGAGACACATCGATCGGTTGCCTCCCACACGTGCCCTGACCGGGGGTGGCGATCGGACCCACAACCCAAGTAGGTGCCAGGTGCCATTGACCGGGGATGTTTTCGAACCCTCAACCCGCCGGTTCACAGGCCGACGCTCTCACCACTGAGCCACGCTGGCCACGGCAGGTCTACCACTTTTAATGCAAAAAGAACCCTTAGTTCCCGCAGGTTCACTTTTCACTTGTACTAGAAAAATCGCTGTTGCTGACTTTCCTACCTAGCGCCTGGGCCAGTGGATTCTGATTCCTCCCTCGAACCTCCTGGACATGGAGTGAAGAACCAGGTATAGTCTTGTTGGGCCACTGGCCTCTTTAGGACCCAGGTACATGAGAAATTTCCAGGTGAGAGTAAAGCCAACGGCACCGAAGGTGGTGCCTTGAAACGTCGACTTTACAATGACCTGTCGCCCGGTAGCTGTGTGCTCTGTAAGGGAAGCTGCTGCAGCTCACAGCGATTTTCTTCTCTGGGTGCTGGTATTTCAACTAAAAGTCATTAGGGATTAAGAAAATGTCACATCAAGATAAATGCCAGTTTTTCAAATAAAAAGTATAATCATAATACGGGGAGTTTGCAGAACACGTTTCCCTAAGAAACGCCACCTCTCTGGATGCTGATACTGCACTTTTCCCCGGGACGGGTTGGGGGGTCGCTGACCTCGGCCATGTGCAGGTCTCCAAGGCGGCACTGTCGGCAGCAAGCTCTGGCTCTATTTAAATCACTTTGACGGCCCAAACATCACGTCCCACACACTGATAAGGAATGACGTGGCTGTACTATTTGTACTAACCCTCGGTGGCTTCCACTAATGTGTTCTTTCATAGCGTCATCATTCCTAACAGAACTATTCTTCTTGAGTAACCCTATGACACCCCATCATCGACTAGATAGCAGGTAGTCAAACCCCACCCTCTTGATAACATCGTGCGTCTGTAAGGGGTAGTGCCTCCTCGCCTTG